TTTCATCGATTTTTGATCATTTTTTGTTCATTTCTTTGAGCTTGGGTAATAGTTCTTATCCTAATCATTTTCGCTTTTACTTTGCCTAGCAAATTTATATGCACCCGACTATTGATTTTTTTTAATTGTTCTATGCACATTTATAACGTCTACATTCGGGGTTTCAATTATCAAACGTATTTCTTTTTTTAATTGGTTCCTTCCCTCCCCTTGTAGTTTGACCACATTCTGATTTCAAGTTCGTTTTTGTATTATAATTTTTAGATGGAATTTTTACATCCCTATACATTATATGAAACTATATTACCCTCCCTACTCAAGTTTTATTATAATTACATTTTATATACCCAATTATCATTTATGTACATTTTAAGGGAATTAATGATAATAATTAGTGTCCTAAAATTACTCTAACATATCTTCCACTCCCCCACGTTTCTTCTCTGCCATTACCCCCCCCCCCCTCCCCCACGTATCTTGCACAAGAGAGCAGCAATTCCACCATTGACAATCATTAAAAAGCTTTGAAGCTTTGAATTCGAATTTGGGTTTTCAAAAAACATTGTTTGTTTGGATTGGATGTTGTTGCAAAGAATTGAGAATTCTCTCTACGTCTCTCTCTATCTCTCAATCCCAAATTTCAGTAATGTAAAGCAAAGGAAAAGAGAGCAGCAATTCCACCATTGACAGCCACTAAAAAGCTTTGAAGCTTTGAATTCGAATTGGGATTTTCAAAAATCATTATTTGTTTGGATTGGGTGTTGTTGCAAATAATTGGGAATATGGTTTGGAGTTTATATCTCAATTTTGAGGGGTTTTGGTGAAGATTAGACTTGATTTTGGCTGAATTTCAGATTGAAGCTCGAATAAGAAGAAGAAGAACACATAACATACATTATACTGCAGAAATTGTAGTAAAATTGTAGAAAAATTATATTCTGTTGTTTATATATTTTTCTTTTATTTATTTAACTATTGTATGAAAGTTGAACAACATTGTATAAAAATTATATTTAAGTTGTATGATATTGTAGTTGTATATAACTGAGTAGAAATAATGTATGAAAATTGTAGATAAGTTGTATAATATATAATTAGTTGTATGAAATTTATTTTTACTATGTATAAATTAGATGCAATATATACTTTGTCCAGCCCAACCCAGGACTACATAACAAATTGAATACTCAGCCCAACAAATTGGCTACTACTTTTGAGGTGGACTCTCCAAAATTGTTCTCTGCTTTGGATCCTTAGTACTATGATATTCTCATGAAGTAAGTTAATTTCTTATTCCTACTTGTTCTGTGTATTTGGCCTAGGTAGGTCTTGAGGTTGAGGATTATGTTTTTCAATATGTAATAATGGATGTGAATCATGTCTACAGAAAATTGTTATGCTATGAGTACTCTTACCTCCAATTCTCAGTTACGGCATATTGGTATATCAGTAGAAAATAAAGAGAAAAAGGGTAGATCATAGTAATTGTGTGACATCAGTGAATTGATCCAATTGAGGACCTTGGGGCATTTTTGATTGATTGAGACGAAAGGACTCGACTTAACTGGGAAACTAAAATTACTGATACTTGTTTAGTAATCCTTAAAATATTATTGTTAAACCTCTTGTTCTGTTATGCACTCAGAAATTGGGGACGTGATACAAGCCTTGTCACGACCCAAAATCCACTAAGGGTCGTGATGGTGCCGGACACCACTGTCAGGCAAGCCAACACCAATTTACTTACAATTTCTGGTTTTAATAATTTCGAAATCGTTTCTTTTGTACATTAAACAATAAGTAATGAATTTCAGAATAGTCATTTATGTCTTTAACAAACTTAATATTAAATAATCTCATAATCATCCCAAAATCCAGTGTCACAAGTACATGAGCATTTACTAGGGAATGAAATAAAATACAGTACAATACTCTGAAGGAGACTCTGCTGGTTGCGGGTCGTCTCGATAAATGCAGCTCACCTAAGTTTCCGTATCAACCATGCCGCTATGCCACTAAGCCACTAGTCACACATGAACCTGTGCAACAAAAATGCACAGCAAGTGTAGTATGAGTACGAAAACAACGTGTACCCAGTAAGTATCCCGTCTAATCTCGAAGAAGTAGAGACGAGAGGTCGACTTCGACACTTACTAGTGGTCCAATGATAGTATAGTAAAAATGTGAGGAAGTCATGGATTTCATAAGGCAATAATAACTCATAAAGCCGGAAAGCAGGTAAACAACTTCTCAAATAATAAAGGATTTCCAAGGATTTACCTTCCATTATCTTTATCAATTTATCTCTGTCCAGGAAAGGCAAATATCAACATTTATAATTCTCAGGAAAGCAATACAAGTATGCGCATATCATGCCGAGGTCGTACGGCCCGATCCAACATAAAAATAAAATGTGCACTGCCAGAGGGTCGAATGGCGCGAACCATAGATGCCTCTATTACCCTACTCGCGAATCATACATGCGACGCGGTCAAATATAAATAAACAATCACCCTGCTCGCGAATCATACATGCGACGCAGGTACACATAGCAACACATACTCAAACAGTCAATCAAGACATTCATCGAGGAGACAATTATTCAAGGAGGTGTAAATTTCTCTTTTTGCAGGTCCAGAAAATGAAGTCTAACTCTTTTAGAGAGTCATTTGCCACTTCGGTATGATTTAAGCATTTTAAACTATCAATAAGGTTACAATTATTACAAGTAAAGCATGCTTTTGGGTCCTAGGCAACCCGGACATAATCATAATAGTAGCTACGCACGGACTCTCGTCACCTCGTCCGTGCGTAGCCCCCACACTTAGGGGCACATATTCAATTAATTCACCTATGGGGACAATTCCCTCTTACAAGGTTAGAAAGGAGACTCGCCTCGCTCCGAAGTTCCATAACCGGCATTCCACGCCCTTCCGAAGACTCAAATCGATGCAAAAATACTCCAAAACTAGCCAATAATTATATAAACCCATTAATATATGTTCAATTACTCATTATAGTCCAATTTATAATAATTCCTAACCCCGAACGAAAAGTTGACAAAATTGCCTCGGGCACACGTGCCCGGATTTCGAAATTTTTCGAAGATAAAGTTTACCCATGACCTCACGAACTCAAATATATAATTTATTCTCAAAATCGTGGTCAAAATCCAAAAATCTCAATTTCTAGGTTTTTCTTTAAAACCCCAAATTTTCCTTTAAATTCTCATGAATTTTGATGTTAAATCTAAGGTATAATCACAAAATATAATTGAAAATTGGTTAGAGGCACTTACCCAATGATTTGATACGAAAATCTACTCTCAAAATCGCCCACTCTCGTACCTAGGGTTCAAAATATGATAAAATGAAGCAAAAACTCGAGTTACACAGCTAAAATCAAGCTGCAGATGTCGCATTTGCGATCCAGGGTTCGCAATTGCGAACCCTCGCAAAAGCGAAGAAAGCCTTCGCAATTGTGAACAAAGAAGGGCTGGAAAAGGTCGCATTTGCGACAAAAAGTTCGCAATTGCGGACTGGGCATCGCAATTGCGATGGATATGTTCGCAATTGCGACCATACCAGAAGCAACAGTTTTTTCCGACACAAAAATGAGCATAACTTCCTCATACGATGTCCAAATTCGATGATTCTTTTTGCTATGGCTTCGTAATTACGATACGGATCTAATGGTTCAATAAAAACTGAATGTGGATCTCATTTGTTTAATGTGGTACCCCTTTATTCCCAAAGAAAACGACGTTAAAACATCAAATAAGAGCGCAATATAACCCGAAACACACCCGAGGCCCCCGGGACCCCGTCCAATCACACACCTCAGTCCTATGACATAACACGGACCTGCTTGAAGCCTCAAATCACGTCAAACAATGCTAAAACCATGAATCGCACTCCGATTCAAGCTTGATGAACTTTAAAATTTCAAACTTCTACTTTCGATGCTTAAACCAATCAAATCACGTCCGATTGACCTCAAATTTTGCACACGAGTCATATTCGTCATTACGGGCCTACTCCGACTTCCGGAATTGGAATCCGACCCCGATATAAAAAAGTCAACTCTCGGTCAAACTTCCTAGAAACCTTCAAATTTCTATCTTTAGCCAAATGACTCCAAAATGACCCACGAACCTCCGAATTCATTTCCGATTGCGCTTCCAACACCAGAATCACCATACAGAGCTATTCGCATACTCGGAATCCCAAACGGACATCGATAACACTGAAACGCACTTCAACCCAAACTCATGAAATTCTTCCAAAAATACTAACTTCCACAATAGGTGTCGAAACGTTCCCGGGTCTTCCGAAACCCGATTCGGACATACGTCCAAGTTCGGAATCGTCATACGAACCTGCTGGAACCTTCGAATCCCGATTCCGAGGTCGTTTACTCAAAAATCCAATCTTAATCTATTCTTCCAACTTAAAGCTTGCGAAATGAGAATTCTCTTTCCAAATTAACTTCGAACTTCCCGAAATTTAGTTCCGACCATGCGTACAAGTCATAATACCTGAAGTGAAGCTGATCATAGCCTCAAACTGTTGAACGACGCGCTAGAGCTCAGAACAACCGGTCGGGTCGTTACAAGCCTTGTAATCCCCTTTTTATTGAAAATAATACTAGTATATCTCATCTTAAATAAATGCCAAATTATTGAATAATCATATTTCTGATGAGTAAAAAACATGATCCTCATCCATTTTCGAAGAAATGAGTAAACCGTGAGCTAATAAGTAATGTATATAACCTGGTCGTATAGGAAGATTACTGTATTTTAAGGCGGAGGAAAATATGGAAAGAGAAGAGGAGAAAAAAAAGAAAAATGGTGTAACTAAATCACTTAATTGAAGGCACTAATAATGAATTGGGGCCTTTTAAGGTGTAATGTATATATTTTGTAAACAAAATTTGTTTAGGTAGGGTAATTTACTAAACATGAACATTTAGGGTAATAAAGTTTCTAATAGTGTATAGGAATGAAAAAATCCCTTTTTAGATACTGCATCTTAAAATATCTCACATTCTGAACCCATTTATTCTCATCATCAAAATAACCACTTGTAATACAACACAATGACGCGAGGGTAATAGAATATTGATTTGAAAAATAAACTTGCTCCATTACTAAGCCAACCAGAAGAACGCATAATTGAGGTTGAGTCTTCCTTCTGAACGCAAAGGAGTAGAATGCACAATTTGAAGAGATTTGTGTCGCATCCTATTCGCCTCCCATCATCTGCAACATTAAAAGCGTTTCACACACCAACTAAAATTATGAATTCAACATGAAAAAGGAAACACAAGTGTGACTAGCCCGATGGTGAAATTCCATCTGTGTACATAGGAACTAATATGTGCTTCACTTAGGTGGAATTATCGCCAATGCTGGTCAAAACACTCTTTGTCATAGTGTTAGTGGTTTGGAGGTGTAATGGATTTTGATCGCATTTACCAGTTTTGAGCAAGAGAAGCTCACTTCTCATTGATTAGTTAGGAAAACCAAACACATTCACGTTAGTAAATAATATTTCAAGGAAATATTTCAAGTGTACCTGGGGGGATTATGTTCTGCAAACAAAACCACATACTTTTTCCAGACGAACTATTAGGATTTTGCCTAACTGCCTAAAGGGAGAATACCATTACCTTGAAGAAATCTCCAATCCCCTCGAGAGGATTTCTACGTCGAACACCATAGAACTTCTCTGCAATTTCATCTAGCAACTAAACCACAAAACACTAAATATTAGGAGGAAAACCATCACATTAATCTGAAAGAGAAAATTCTTTATTTTTATGCATCACAATAGCTATAAAGAGAAACATTCTATAACAAAGTACGGAAATATCTCAATTAGAGATGGAAACTCACTTCATTAAATGTAGATTCTCTATCTATACTAGACTTGTAGGTTTGTCTCAACATATTAAACAGAGGTAAAGCATCCCTCTGCAACCTGTATCATGAATTGAGTTTGTGAACTGTGAATGACAGAGCTTAATAGTGTCAAAAGGAAGCAGAAAAGAAATTTTACTTTCAACACTTGAAAAATCGATTAGTGTTCAAAGCATGATTGGAACTTACGTCAGGAGGAGATAGTTCACAAACTCGGTTAATTCTGAGCTAGGAAAGTTAAGATTCTTCAATTCCACTTCCATTTTCACTTCATCCATGAGCTTGTTAGCATCTCTTAGGTTTCCCAGAGACAAGTACCTGCCAAACCAAAGAGATAACTATAGAACCATTGGATCAACCTTCATATCAAAGACAAAAATCACATGTCACCACTCACCAGCACATGTATTGATCCCATTTTGAAACAAGGTGTGGATATACGTTCTTATAACAGCGTGTTAATACCTAGGCCAATTAGAATGTCATTTCATCCCAATTTCTTTTCATGGAGAATGTACAGCTTAACTGCACTAATAGTTTCTTTAAAATGAAGAAAGCGTGCAGGTAGCTGCACTGCCAGGCAACCCAAAGGCTTCTCACTGCATTCTTTACTAGAATGGGGCAAATTACTGTTGGAGCTGCCTATGAAGCAGAGACACCAAATTTAAGGTACTTGTTTGACTTGGATATTTCTCGCACACAAACACGGCCAGGACACATGCTGCAATTTGTGTAATAGAATTTTTTTTTCGTTTTGTATCTTTTGGATTGGCACGATTGTGCAACACCAAATAAAATCTTCAAAAGAATAAAAAATTGCAGCTTTAGAATAAATAGAGAGAAATACAGAGATAAAAACCTAAACCTTAGAAACATTGCTACTGTTTTACTATTTTTCTTTTTAATTGTGTTCTTTTTATTTAGTAGAAACATCATTATTGCTTTAATAAGCAACATATGCCACGACTATGAAGTGACACTAACTTTTATCGCCATTGCTTTAGTAACTCAATAGTACGACTAAGAACTGATACTTGAATTTTTGAAGAAGTAGGAGAACCTGGTTCGAAGGAGTAGAGAACCTTTTTTAAAGGACAAGTGGAACCATATATGAAGATGAAAAAGAAGAAAGAGTGGAAGAACATGGGAAGGAAAAACCTGGTTTGAACTTCAAAGAAGAAGCTGCAGAAGCTCTGCTGGTCAAAGTTGGTGCTGATTTCCCCACCCACAGCCCTTTTGTCTCTCTTTCTTTCTCCTTTTATTCTTGTTTTTAATGTTCTTACAACTCAATCACGACTTTTCTGTGCCAACACATACTGCTTTTACTAGATCTGGATATTACACTTAGCATTGTGTTCGAGGACCTGTTTGTAACATTTCATTGAGGATGCAGGTCTATGTTCAATTTTTCTTTTACAGTCATGTCACTGTTACATTAACTTTCCATTTCAGTATTCTGATAAAAAAGTTAGAAACTCAAGCCAGATAACAGAGTACATGCAATCTGCTGTTCATGGGATGTCAGGAGAAGAGGGGGAGAGACAGAAGCAATACAGGCATCCACTATATGTGTGCAGTAGTCTAAATGTGTAGTAGTCACAACTCACAGATAGTTGTAAATGCCCAGAAATTTTATGGAGAATACAGACTTGGGAAACTGAATATAAGTTTGTTGAAGTGTCAAGTTCAGAATGTCCACCAGCAGAAGTTGGATAACTTAGTTAGGACCACCAAATACAAGGTACTAAACACTATATCGCAAGATACTCACATCAAAATAGCCCGTACAATAGCCAGATCGTCCTCTCCTGGATAGCACTGCATGTTAAACATTATGAGTTATACTCCGTTTGAAATTAAATCATACAGGTGGTTTATAGGTCACTGTTGACAAAAAGCAACAAAAACTTAGAAAAAACTGTCTTCTTAAGCAAATTCCTGGTAGACAAGAAGATCTTCCTTGCAGTCAATATTGAAAATGTAACTCCAGCTTTTTGAGCTTTTAATATGTGTCCAGTGATAGATATATATATCAGAAAAATTATACTAGCAAAGAACAGCCAAAGCTTACCTTGCCCATGAAATTTACAAGAGCTGATGCAAATTTCTTCGGATTCCTTCCTCTCACAAAGTGAAAAGATACTTTACCAATGTCCTGCAAAGCAGGTACGCAACAATGTTGACTGCAATTCAGTCATAATAACTTAAGTTTCAGGAAAATCCCCATCAAATTCAGGTTCATTAATCAATGAAAACCCATCTTCGTTCACAGTTTGAAAAAGAAAAAATGTAAAGAGTGGATTTCCTTAAGCTACCAAATGATGTGCCACAAGGCAGTTAAACAAGATAATAAGTTCTATTAGCAGCTATTAATTTTACAAGTCATCTTTGTCATCTGAGGCCTAATTTCCCCCCTTAAAAATCAAAAAGTAATGACCTATGAAACAGAACCACAGCACTTTTTCTTTGTTGTACCAAGAACTAGAGAGCATCAGCTTCTATAATGTACCACTTCAGGAGACTCTGAATACATATAATCTGCCAGCATGTCATGCAGCTCTGGAGATCCATATCTATGCGCACCAAATTCTGCTGACCACCTACAAACAAGGCATAGTTCATTTTTTATCCCTTCCTGCATGATAAAAGGAATAAGTACTTCTGACAAGATAAAAGGCTTGCAGAAGGAGAAACACGTGCGTCAAGGATGTTAGTCTGCTATATCGAAGGGCTAAACACAAAGAATAAGACTCTAGTGAACAATCCTATCCAAAAGACTCAATACAATCATGAGCCATGAAGAATTTGGACATCCTTATCAAAATAATGTCTCTGGACGAAAAGAAGCATGACTAGTGAGTCAAAGGGAATATCCCACAAGCACAGGAAAAAGTTGTTGCATCAAAGGTATAAATGAAAATTATACAACCAGCTCCATTAATATCTAATTATAGACAGTGCTACTCCAGGATTCTGTAGTATTATGTTCAGTTCCTATTAATTTTATTCACACAACGACATATTAACTTCAATCCATCTCCCTATGAATATAGAGGTATATGTGTAAGAGTATCTCATTTTACATAGTCAAATACTGCTAGTGTACAACCACTTCAGCAACTGAAACAGCCGTGTTTTCAAAGAAGAGCATAAACATGGATAAGATCTGTGGATTGGCTGCAACAAAAGAAAGAGTATCTAACTTGATAGCTGCTTTCAGAAAGGAAGAACAGCCTTCTACTCGTGTTTTGGCTGCGGCAATGGCTTCAGAAAGTTTTTGCAGGTCATCGTCATCTGCAAGGTCCAAATGTTGTGGCACAGAAAGCCGAGGAAACTTCTTGTAAATTTTCCTGACACGATCTAAGGAAAATTGATTATAAACCAACTCAACACTTAAAACCCCTTATTAAACTAGCAGCAACCACAACTACTATACCTCAGCCCAAACAAGTCGGGGTCGGCTATATGAATCCTCAATTAACAGTAGAAAACAAACAAAAAAAAAAGGGAAAAACAACTACAACAAAAACAGAGGCGCCATAGCTTGATTTAGCTTTCAAACTATGGCAACACAATCAAGTTATGATTTAATTGGCTACTTCAGTTTTAGAAGAGCTAGTATCTCTTCCTTGCCATTCTAAGGAAACAGTACTCTTCTTTCAGTTCTAATATCTAAAAGGCTATCATGTTTTATCACCAGAATCTATTTAGTTTGTTTTCTTCCTGATGTCTCATTGTACAAATTACACTTCTGAAATATGATTTTTCTACTTATGGACTTCTTTTGGATTTTTCTTTTTCTAATAAAGTAAAGCTTGCACTAAAAGGCATCCAGAGGATGCAAATCTATACAATGAATTGACTCTTGTGTAGTACTTAGAGTCAACAACAACCCAGTAAAATTCCATCGGTGGGGTCTGGGAGGATAGAGTGTACGCAGACCTTACCCCTATCCCGGAGGGGTAGAGAGGTTGTTTCCCGGAGACCCTCAGCTCAGAGACAATAGATCCGTGACAACAGAAACCATAAAAATAATATCAGCAACGTGAGAGACAGCAAATAAATAGAAAAGTAGTAATACAAATATTATGCAAAAGTGTGAAACACAGCATAAACCGCTAGAAGTGCTAGACAAAACACTATCATACTAGCCGGTACAAAGAGGGAAACCGGGAGAAAGAGGAAAACCGCTCGACTACCCCTTAACCTACAACCCTAATGCTCGACTTCCACACCTTCCTATCAAGAGCCATGTCCTCGGAAATCTGGAGCCGCGTCATGTCCTGTCTGATCACCTCGCCCCAATACTTCTTAGGCCGCCCTCTACCTCTTCTCGTACCTGCCAAAGCCAACCGCTCACACCTCCTAACCGGGGCATCTAGACTTCTCCTCTGCACGTGCCCGAACCATCTAAGTCGCGCTTCCCGCATCTTGTCGTCCACCGGAGCCACGCCCACCCTCTCCCGAATATCTTCATTCCTAATCTTATCCAGCCTAGTGTGCCCGCACATCCATCTCAACATCCCCATTTCTGCTACTTTCATCTTCTGGATATGTGAATTCTTGACTGGCCAACACTCAGCCCCATAAAACATGGCTGGTCCACATTGTTTACATCCAAAAACTTTTCCCAACTATGTACATTCAACAAAATTCTTGCTTTCGAAGCTGAAACAGAGGAGGCCTCTCCCTGAAAGTACCTCTTGTTTCTTTAGCTCCATAGAGTCCAAAAAATTCAGCCGGGAATGGACTGCCACAGGGTTCTTTTGTCTGTCTGCACCTTTCACATGTACCAGCACCTCAAGGGATCCCTTAAACCATTAGGAGTGACCATTGCAAGCCAAATAGATTTATGAACAAGTTCCAAAAGTTCCTTAGCAACACTGCAAAGTAGAAATAGTAGTCTGACAGTTTTGCATTCTATCCATACATAAGTACCATCTGGAGCAGAAATTCTTTGGAATAATTTTTAGTTCAGTTCTACTTAGCTTTTGTGCCAATAAAATTTAGCAAAGTGAATAACTACTCTTCAGAGGCATCCTGGGTTTTGTCCAACACTATTTGATAAGTCGAAAAAATCATCTCATAATATGCACCAAGATGATACGAAGGTTTATGGGTGTTTCACATTCAGCTTCTGAACAATCAATCAAACTGTCTATACAAAGTGGGAACATTCTCTTTACACCAGAATATAGTAACATAAGAAGAAGCTCTTGATCATCTATTTAAGTAAACATCATCCTTTTCCTCCGGATAATCCAAGAGAGACAAAAAGGAGCTCGTTGCAACCTTCCTTCTCTCTCTATCCTACTGATCTCCAGATCACAAAATTTACCTCCATATAGTTGGAGTACTCAAGTGACATTAAACAGTGAATATACCAAAAACTCAGAAGCCCGACCATAAATTTACAATGAAGAAGTAAATGATCCACGTCTTTTCCATTCCTTTTACATATGCAATACCAACTGACCAGCACACATGACCATGGCATCCGTATTTCCTTGCAATATCATCCATAAAGCTACTTCAGCGCTTGAAACCTCCACATCATTTTCCTGAAAATGGATAATTGTAAGACTCCAAATTTAGCCACATCTGTGAGAGACAACCATATTCTTCCATCCAATTAAGCAATAATTCCTTTTATCCTCCTCACCTTTCCACAGAGAATCCCTCTTAAACTTCTCCAATCTCAAAGAATTAAAAGATGGATAAGATACAAACTTGTAAAATGTCATGGTGGCAGATAGAGTAGATTTGATAAGGACTAATATGCCTCCTTTTGATACGTACTCCGTTTTCACCCATCCATCTACTCCTTCAAGGCTCTTCCATTCCATGTCATATTGTCCACGTAAATTCTAAATGAGGAACTCTGTGCACTCCTCTTTGAAATCTTCCCCTTATGAATTTCCACTTTAGCAACGGAGCACAAAGAGCTCCTGGCATCACCTGTTCACCAATTCAACTTCGAACATATTCTACACCATACAGCATATAGTCTATATGGCAATGAAGCAGTAGATGTTATATGCTGAAAATTAAGAGAATTAATGCAGTTATATGTTAGGATGTTCTGTAAGAAGTTGTCTGTTAGAATGTTCTAGATTAATTCTATGTGTTTGGGTTACAGCAATAACAACTACTACTACTAATACTATGCCTTAGTCACAAAAATAGAAGAGTTCAACTATATGAATCTTCACTATCCATTTTGCTCAATTTGAACTGATTTTATTCCAATATTCAATAGTTCAGGTTCTCCAACATTAGAAATTCTGTACATTTTTCTACTGGGAAAAAAATTCTCCTAGCATTGGACCAAAAATGAACATGCCAACATGATTAAACCTTAACCCCAACTAATTGGTATTGCCGATATGGATCTTTTTCTTTCATTTTGTTCTATTTTTCTTCCGTTGTATAATGACAAAATTAGGAAAAAAAAAATTATGACAATACAAACATAAATGCATAATACAGGAAAATTAACCGTAACATATAAAAAAAGACTAACCTAGAGTGTCTTCGTCATACGAAACTTTTGCTTTTGCAAGTGTTTCAGCAAACAGCAAAGAAAGCTCTGACCCACAGGTAATCTGCAAAAAGTCAAGAAGGGTCTAGATCAACAATACAATTAAAAGAAGAATTCTGATAAGGTTAAATTATTAAAAAAGTGGTCGTGGTCGTGGTTAAAATTAAATGGTACAAGTAGAAGAGATCACAAATATAACCTGGGCCTTGTCTAATTGCAAACAAGCACCAGACTGAAGAACATTCAAGGCGTCAGAGTATCTTTCAGCAGACACATATCTGAGAACAAATATAGTGCGGGGAGGATATTATTAACAAAATACAGGGAGTTCAATCATATGTATATAAAAAAAAAATCTCGTACCAACCTGGCACTAGTGGACTTATACATCTGTTGAGCTCCATAGTAATTTCCCTCTTTGATAACCTTCTCCAACTTATCGATATTCTGCAATTACCAGTTATTCAAATTACTAAGGAAAAATAAGTGCAGTAGTGGCAGTGACATTGTCATGTACCTACCTCCTGAGCTGGGGGCAGTATCACTCGCCTGACTCTCTCTCGGAACATGCTTGCATCACTTGTGTGGATCTATGATTGTTGAATGTTTGATTAAGTCGCGGAGAAGACGTATTTCTCATTTCCCAAACAAAAAGCCGCAAAAATGGGAACTTCCTCATGTTCAGGTCCTTACCGTTGTTGGATGAAGGGATTGGTAGGTGCGTTTGCCACTTCATAAGTTTGCAGGGATATAATGGAAAACCATATTGTGGAGAACCTCTTTTCCCAATTATAGGAGAATGAGAATTTTTTATTTTTACCATAAATTTAATGGTTGTCGATACAGGAGTCCGGAACCCAATTGTGATTCTTTTGGACTCAAAATACATAAATAGGTGGGAAAAAAATTTAGTGACCAAACTATATAAAATGCGCTTTTAAACCGCGCTTTACCTTCACGGCCGTTTGGGACGTTAAGGTAAAGCGCGCTTTAAAACTGCGTTTTATATAAAATGCATTTTCAAACCACGCATTACCTGTTTTGTGGGACCAATAACTATTCCGCGCTTAACTGACATAACATTAATTCAAATGGGTAAAACGGCCTTTTAAAAAGCGTTTTACTTCCAAAAATTTGACCCCCCCCCCCGGGTATTCGGGCATTTCCTTATTTAAAGGCGTTAAGGATTTTGCAAAAATTCATTCAGAAATATTCTCAACTCTTGATAAATTTTTCTTCTTCTTAAATTCTCAAGCTTTTTTTCATAATGTCTGAAGAGCGAAAAATAAGGATTTCATTATATTGGGGAGTGAGGTTGTGGTGGCGAATAACTCAGTGAGCTATAGTTTATCTCCACAGAGTCATGTTAAGTTGCCACTTACAATGGAGTACGATAGACTACTATCGTTGTTATGTAATAAAATGAGGTTGAGCAAACGTTCGGTGAATTTTAAAATAACCGGAAGATATCCTTATTCTGTGACTCCACAAGGGGTTGCTTGTTACGTTGAGTTTAACATCGAGGATGACGAAACTCTAAGAGATTTTTTGGGGACTCCGAATGAATACCAAGAACTTATTTTGATAAAAATATTGGAAATGCACGTGAAGGTTGAAGACGTTCGCAATAATGAGGTTGCGCAAAGCAAGGATAACCCTCAATCATTGGGTGGTTATTCTGGAGCAGTTTTAGCCGAACAGGTTCCGGCTGAAAGAGTTTGGCCGGATCTAAACTTATCTCCGGGAGAATGAGGAGCGAGGAAATAATTTCTCTCCTACTTTACATAATCCACAAGACAACTGGTAAACTTCAATTTTCCTTTGTGTTACGATGTTTATTTTTGTTGTATTGAATTTGTATTAACACTCATGTATTCCACAAGGGGTACCATCCAGATATGAATTTTACAAGTTATGAACCCACGTCCAGTTGGAATATGCGTAGTTTTGGTGTGTTGGATCACGGTGCTCCATCCGAGAGTCATCACCAACAGGATAATGTCCATCATAGAATGTCAACACATTACGACTTATAAGTGAAGTGATATAGATATATGTAAAGTATTTATCAATTTGAGTAGCTTATTATTTTGTTGTTTGTGTAGTGAAAACGAGCAACTTGATGGTCCTATCCTCACTCAGTTGCCCGTAGACGATGTATTTACTCGGGATTTGGCAGATGCGCAGAGTCAGGAAAATAATAGTGATTATGACAACAATGCCGATGAGTCTGGAGATGACACACCCTTCCTTGACGAGGTGATGATGAGGAGGAAGAGAATGCCGAACCTGATTTGACGAGGGAGCATGCTCCACCTCCTGTTAGACCAAGAGTGTACGAGTCCCACGTGCCGTTTTATTCAAGGCATATTGCCTACCTTGATCATTTGCCAAGTATGCCGGATGTGGATGCCCTCACAAGGGATTTTGACGAAATTCGGACAGCAATTTGGGATGAGTCAAGACCAACGGTGCTAGCAAAGGGCATACTTTTTCCTGATAAAGCGCGCCTAAGCAGGGCAGCAAAAATGTACAGTGTAAAAGTGTGCCGTGAGATGATAGTATGGGAGTCAAGTCCGGATGTATACAAGGTTGTTTGCCGTAGATGGTTTACGGGTTGTCATTGGATGCTGCGTGCGAGCAAGAAGAAAACAGAGTTGTGGAAAGTGGGAAAATATATTGGCACCCACAATTGTGAACTGGACACATTCAATGGGAATCACTTCCACTTGGATGTTGACTTGATTTCTCTTCAACTGATTCCACACATTGAAACGTCCATAAGGTACAAGATCAAAAAGTGTATTACATCCGTCCACCAGGAATATGGTTGTACTATTATCAAAAGAAAGGCATATCTCGGGCACAAACGTGCTTTTGAAATTGTTTATGGTGATTGGGATAAGTCATTTGCATCTCTACCCAGGTACATGGCCGCATTAAAACACTTTAACCCCGGGACTGTTGTTGAATGGAAGCTTGAGCGGAGTGCAGGAATACCGGAATATATATTCAGATACGTGTTCTGGGCATTTAAACCAGCAATTGATGGTTTTGTGCATTGCTGTCCGGTAATTTCCATAGACGGTACTCATGTCTATGGAAAGTATGATATTAAGCTATTGATCGCCGTCGCAGTAGATGCCAATGGACAAATATTTCCACTAGCTTTTGCCATCTGTGCCAATGAAAGCCAAGAGACGTGGACTCTATTTTCGAACCACTTGAAGCAGCACGTTCTCAAACAACATTCAGGCATTTGTCTAATATCTGATCGGCATGGTGGTATATTAAGTTCTATAGAGCATTTGCCTGAATGGCAGGAACCCTATGCATACCACCGTTACTGTGTGAGGCACCTGAAGGCCAATTTCCAGAAGAAATATCCCAACAAGGACTTGCATGATTTAATGTGGATGGCTGCAACCGATCGATCACCGGGAGTGCAAATTCAAGAGGCACATGGAATCGATCCGGCGGTTAGACGAAAGAGCTTATCATTGGTTGATGCGACATGAGCTTCACAAGTGGACATTGCACGCGGATGGTGGGAGACGATGAGGAACCCTAACTACAAATGTGTCAGAGTCTTTCAACAGGTTATTGAAGTCTGCACGTGGATTGCCTGTCACTGCCATGGTGCGGATGTCATTCAAAAGATGGCGGAGAGGTTTGTTGAAAGGCATAGAGGTGCATCAGAATTGATGAAGAGGGGTGTTGAATTTATGCCAATACCAATGAAAAGATTTGAGAAATAGAGGAGGCGAGCACATTGGAATTCATTTAAACAATATTGCGACGAGCGAATATTTTTGAAGTTCGCACCGCTATCCATCGACACCGGGGGAATAATGTACACACCGTAAATGAAGCCAGCAGGTTGTGTTCTTGTGGGAAATGGTCCATCTACCACATGCCGTGCTCACATGCCATGAAGTGCTTTCAACATACAGGTTTAGGGCCAACTAACTATGTTGATAGGCAATACAGTGTTGTTGCACACTTAAACACATATAGTGGGCAGTTGCAGCCAGTGGGTGCTGAGCATTCACGATAAAAAAAAATTGGAATTAACTACAAGTCGCTAAAACGCTCGTAGCTAGCAAAATTTCTTGATAATACATCGCTAATTCATCGCTAAATGAGATTAGCGATGGATTTTTGTTTAGCTACAGAATTTATCTGTCGCAAAAACCTAATTTTTTAGCAGTGATTATTGGCCGCCGGAACCATTTAAAATGGTGTGTAACAAGGACTATTTGCGTAAGCTACAAGTGAAAAAAAGAACGCGTGTACGGACCAAATGGATGTTGGTGATACCGTTTATGCGCGTAAATATGGCATATGCTCGCAAACAGGACACGACTGTCGTAAATGTCCTTCAGCTGGTTTGGGTGGCGGTGGTAATCCAGCTCCTGGTGGAAGTTCATCTAATGTACCCAACTATCAAGGATACACGTAGTGTTTTGTTTTCGTAATGTGGTTGTAATAAGTGTATGTGCTTGTTTATGTTGTAAGATGTATCAAATAAAATTATGTTTCCATTGTTGTTAAATCTCATTGATATTTAATATTTTTTAGTTGAGTAAATTAATGAATTTCTCCCTCCCGTTCATGTAATCAAAAATAGTATTGGATTAAAAAACGGAAAATTTTTACGTTCACTTTCGAATTTCACTCTAAAATTATTAGAAAACTACACTGTCAGAGGAGGAAGATGTTTGATAAATATGTGAATATATATAGCGTAATTAAATACTACGTTATGTGTGTTGTCTTGTCGATCTGAAAAGCTGGCTGACTGTGAAAAAGCTATTTTGTATCAGAAAGAATCTTTAACACGCGAAGCATAGCGCGGTAAATACTACGTTATGTGTGAGCATATATAGCGTGGTTAAATACTACGTTATGTGCTTTGTCTTGTCGATCTGAAAAGCTGCCCGCCTGCAAAAAAGTTGTTTTGTATCCGAAAGAATCTTTAACACGCGAAGCATAGAGAGGTTAAATACTATGTTATGTGTTTGCATAGCGTGGTTAGATACTACGTTATGTGTGTTACCTTGCCTATAAATAACGGGCACATTCTAGTTATTTTCTGCGCTTAACCATAACAAATAGAAATCCATAAAAGCAGGGTTTTTTTTCGCTTTAACAAATGTCTAAACGCATTTATGTACCAATGTACCAATGTGGCAAACACTGTATGTTGGCGGATTGTTGGGATGATGGTGAAGTTGGGCGTAGATACTGGATTGTGTGAACAGGTTCGGAGGCAACAACGAAAATTTTTACAATTTTGAGGTATGGTTTGATGAACCCTGTAAGCAGGAATGCTACAAAGAGTCTTTGCAGTATTATCATGATTTTACCAAAAAACAGTGGAAATATGAATGAGAATATAAAAGAGAAATTGCGGAGTTGAAGGAGAAACTAAAAGAGGCAAAAGAAGAAAAAAAATAAGCTGGAAGAGAAATTTAAGTGGTTGGAGCAGAGAATAATAGGCGGTCGTGACTAAACAATGACATGTATGTGTTGAGTGTAGTACTTTATCTTTATATTTCCCGTGTCATGTGTTTTCATTAGTTGTACTAAATTTAAATTATGTTAAGTTGTTATGTTTGTGTTTGTGTTGTAGTATTAAAATAAAGAAGAAACGGTGAAATAAAAACATAAAGTGCATATAATGTAAACATAAAAAATTGTTGTTATTATTTACATAAAATAATATTTACATAAGATACAAAAAAAAAATCAATGTGTC